AGTTTGTTACAGCAGGTAAAGCTTTAATTGAGAGGAAGTGTTGTTGTAGTGCTTTTACTTTATTATATCCAGAGGTAGCTATGTTGGCCATACAACAAAATACATTACATCAAAAATTAACAAAACATGATACCTTTATCATGCACAAAATACAACATGCAAGCTTTTGAAGCTCCAGGGGTTTCTTCATCAGGCAAAGGTGTTAAAAATCATACAGGAGGAGGGGGGAAATGATGATGTTAGAGTTACAGACCTACATTTTGTCAAGGTGTTGTTTTCATGGTCTGGAGGGATATCAGTGCAGGTGGAGGCCACTCCTCTCTTTGATCAGGGGGGCTCTGGGAGACTGAGGGGGGTTCCAGACTGCCAGAAATAGTGCAAATTGAGTCCACTTTTAGGGTTAGGGTTAGGGAATCATGGGAACTGTATTTTATTGTGGCGCCAGAGCTCTCTGACAGAGAAGGCTCAATGTCTCAGGAAAGAAAAACAATTCCCATGATTCCCTAGCACTAACCCTAACCCTAAAAGTAGACTTAATTTGCACTATTTCTGGCAGTCTGCAACCCCCCAAAGAGTAGTAAAATCCAGGCAATAAAATTTTCCCTCCATTAACAACAGAAAAAATAACTTCCCTTGAGATCCAGGCTGTCTCTATTCTGGGTGAGGGTACACACCCCTTTCTTATTTCATTATGCTTTTGTGCATATTTTAATGTTTTTAACTTACTCTAATGCTACTTTTAACTGTTTTTAATTTGTTTTTTGTTTTGTTTTTAATAGAAATTTATTGTAAATTTAGTGTATTAAGAATTTTAAAAGTGAGCTGTGCTTGTACAATATTTTATGCCACTATGGATCCTTTGTTGGAAGAAAGGCAAGATAAAAATTAAATAAATTAAATTGATAAAGTGCAGGGTGATACATAAAAAGATTGTACCTGAAAGTATTCTGGTTTGAGGTGCTGTGAAACAATATAGAAACTCTGCTGGTGGCACTGCATCTGGAAAGCCTTGTTGATACATGATGCACTCATTAAGTAATAAACATAAATGTGCAATCCTATCCTAGAGAGTGATCATTGTCAATGTCTGAACCAGCCCCTGCTCCTTTAACAACAATTTGAGCTGGAGCACATAGCAACACAAGTTTATGTGTTTTCTGGCGTATAAGACTACTTTTTTACCCAGGAAAATCTTCTCCAAAGTCGGAGGTCATCTTGTACTCTGGGTGGAGGAGGAGGAGGAGGAGGAGGGGGAGAAAGGGGTGGTGTGGCGTGAGGCAGGAGGAGGAAGCAGCAGCAGATAAGAGGTGAACCCCTATCCTGGGTTTTCTTGGTTCAGAGGAGATTTGCCATTGCTGAGGCTGAGAGCGTGTGACTTGTCCAAGTTCACCCAGTGGGTTTCA